CAGGGTTGGCCGCACCTCGGAAAAAACAAACCCCTCCGCCGGCCAAATGTAAACTCAAACCTGAGGTGCCATGAACTCCTTGCAGCTGCATCTACTCGACTGGCTACGCAACGTCAGAGCCTCAGGCCCATAAGTGCTGCAAGGCCCAAAAGGGAACTCACCAACTCTTGAAGGCAATCTAGTGTCCTGCAGAAGCGCGCATCTGAGCATGTCTCCTTGGGAAACATCGCCTTGCATCAGCACATTGCCGACGATCTCTGTACCCGTTGCCGCATCTGAACGTTCCTGGTTGGGTTCGGGTCGAAGTCACGAGTCAATAGCCGAATCTGTCAGCGGAAGCCCCGCTGAAGTTTGTGTTCAAATTACTGAGCCGGGGCCATGCATGAAGCCTCGATGAGGAACTACTCTACTCGGGTCAGACACGTGGGACGTTGACCAATCTCACAGACAGCCTGCTGTGGGTGGCCAAGCTGTACAAGAACGCCCAGGCTACCTGCACCAAGGGCAGCGCTAAGTAGCTGTGTTGATACTTTCTCTGGGCCGACGGGGGCTTGACTTCTTGACAGCAGGAAGCTGGGATGGTTTTCTTTAACCCAGAGGTTTTTGCAACATCGCGGCAAGATGAAACGTGGAGCCTGTGTCGCTGCGAAGGTGTTAGCTATATAAGCACGTTCGTCGTTTCGTGTAGCATGGACGATAGGGGCTGGTACATCAGTATGCGTTCACAGAATACACAAACCATACTCCAAGAAATATGCTTATCCAACTTCAACACATGTGTACACAAATATATACATGCATGCATACACGCATACATACATACATGCATCTATACATGCAGAGTATAGATCGTTGTATACCTGCAGCTCGGTTTGCATGTCGTAACAACAATACCGGTTACGAGCCAGCAACTACTGAGAGACAGAGAGAAAGAGAGAGTGAGAGAGAGAGAGAGAAGGAGCATATCTTTTACCGGCATGTCCGAGTTCCTTTCCCCCACAAGGCCCCAAAACAGGGGCGCACCCTGCGGTGCGGGAAGCCTGAACCGCTCCCTATGCCCCGGAGAAGAAGAGAGAAGGAGCAGGCTTAATGCCCCCACGGAGGCACTCGAATCTTGCGTAGCAGTGAACCAGCTGCTCCGACGTACAGTGAGGTTCAGTGGAAGGTCGAAGGCAGTGTGAGCCGGGGTGAGGCTTCCGTTGGGGTTACAGGCAGGGATCAGGCAGGTAAGGTCGGGTTACAAAGTGAGTAAGGGAGGCACCAACTGTTACCTTCACGTTCTTTCGGTCTGTTGATGTCTGTTGCCTACTAAAGAGGGGCCTCCCACAACTAGGCTACTCCGTTTCTCACGGAGCACTCCTCTGGGGCACAACTCAGTACTGATAGGGTCGTGAAGTTTGTGAAACATGCCCCACAAAGGCACTGAAACCCTTCGTAGCAGTGAACCAGCTGCTCCAACGTACAGTCGAGCCCTACTACCAATATGGTGGATAGGGAAGCGCCTCGGCGCGGGCCAGGGATACCTGGCTCTAACCCCGAGCAAAGCAAAGCAGGCTTAACCGGAATCCCATGCCCCGAAGTGAAGTGAAGTGAAGTGAAGAGAAGGAGCACGAAAGAAATCATGTGCAGCATATGCATGCATGCATACATGCAGCAGCAAAAGCTCCCTGAGGACACCGCCACCCACGACGTCTTTACGGCCGCCACCAAGTTCGTTCTCGGACCGCGTCGCGCTCCGCCATCAACCCTAATCCCTGGTTTTCATCCGAATCCCAACATCTGGCGAGGTGAGAGTCAGGTTGAAGAGCATTCAAGCTATGCAGTCCTCCGCTTCGGCTTGGGGCTGGCAGTGCTCTGAAAACACATGTGACATAGCCGGATGGTAGACCCTCTCTACCTGTGTCTGTCTCCTGTCTCTTTCTTGCATCAGCAACAGGAAGTGTAGAGCTACACCGTGTCTCTGCATGTACGTGTTGTCCGAGCATGTGTATGCATGGGATTCATGTTTACCTGGATGTCTGCACGACTGTGTGTGGTATGCAGTTGCGTCTTAAGTGTAGTTCTTTTACTCACTACGACGATGAGTATACACATTCATCTGGGTACGCGTATGTATTTGCATATACGCCTATGCATATGATATGTAGCTTAATGTCCTTGAGCTCCCTATCTATCCGCGTACCTACCAGAGTTCTGAGTTATTACATTCACGGGTGTGTGTGTGTGTGTACAATGTATGTAACTCTGTATGTATGTATGTACGTATGTATGTATGTATGTATGTATGTATGTATGTACACGTATGTATGTGTGTCTGTGCCCATTTTGTGCGCACCCCACTTGTGTACATACAAATGATCATCCGCATATATGTCATGTATACTTGCGTACATGTGCAGATATTTGTGTGTATGTATGTGTATACATATACGCATGTCTACACACACATATACATACACATACATACATACATACATACATACATACATACATAAATACATAGATTCTGTCATTCATCCATCCATCCATACATACATAAATGCGTACATACATACTTACTTACATACATACATCCATACATCCATACATACATGCGCACATACATACATACCTACCTACGTA